AAAAAAAATTTATTATTTTTTAATCAAATTTTGTTATTCATATTTCTCTCTCTCTCTCTCTCATCCATTTTCCTAACTATTTCCCTTTCATCTTTCTTTTTTCCATCTCTTTTTGATATATTTTAGAAGATATAAAATTAAAAAAAAGTAGTTAAAATTATTTTATTAAATATAATACTTATTTCCTTTGTTGTTTTGTCGTCAACTTCATCCTGAAAATTTAAAATTAAAATTGGAAAATGTTGGAAAGTTGAAATTAGAAATCGTGGTATGTTTCCTTGATTAATTTTTATATATATATATATATTGAATTAGTTTAGAATTGAAAGAAATTAAAGAAATTTTGGAATTGATAAGTAATAAATAGCAATCAAATTTTGTTTTATTTTTTAAAAAAAGAAAGAATGAATGATGAGAAAAAGTTTAAAATTCATAATTACCTTTTTATGTTGATGTTTTTGGTCAAGTATTGATGAAACAGATGTAGTAGGAGGTGCAGGTTTTCCAGGAATTGGTGAAAACGGTGATGGAGGTTGTGGTGAAAAAAATTGAACTGGTGGTGGTTCTGGTGGTGCTAAATAAAAAAAAAAAAAAAAAAAAAAAGAAAAAAGAAAAAAAGAGATATCAAGTAATAAAATAATATTTTGAAAAGAAATAAATGTAATGCAAGAATAAATTTTAAAAATTATCGAATTATTTTATGTAATTTTTTTTTATTTAAAAGAGAACAAAAAGACTAAATTATTGCTTGATAAAAATATTATGTAAATTAATTATTTCATTTTTTTTGCTGCAAAAAAATGAAAAATTTATTGTAAAATGAAATTTACAAAAAAAAGAAGAAAATCAACAGATTTGGATAAAGTTTCAAAAAAAAAATCAATAGATTTGGATAAAGTTAAATGATTATATAATATATCTTTCATTAAAACATTAATTTAATGCTATATAGAAAAGATTTGCTTATCACAATCATTATCAATTATCATCATCATTCATTTAAATCTTCTCTCAACAACGAAAAAAAAAAATATGAAAGAGAAATTGATATATTAGAAAAATTCCAACCGATTTTCTTTTCTTTTTCTTTCCGTAAATGTTGAAAATTACTGTAGAAATAATATAATGGGTGAAGAAT